TTAGTAAGTACTTTATAATTTTTGAGAATTATAACAATCAAGTTTCTAATTCAGCTCTCTTTACTAGAAGCCATCACGTCGAATGATACCTTCAAATTTAGCAATAATTCAAGAAATATGTAGAAGATTTATAGCAAACTTCAATGAATATTGAACGGAAATTTTACCAGATAAATTAAAGCACGATAGTTCTTGGAAAGAGTCAGTAGAGATACTCGTTGGAGTTGCGATTAATATTCTTGATATATTGTAAGTAATAACAAGGAAAATTATTACTGTATATATCACTGATTTATTATTAATAGAAGTGATGTCTGGAACAATCCGGTGTTTGGATCAGATTTTGAAGATTCGCTTAATAAAGGCACTTATGTGACAAATGTGATAATACCAGCAATTCGATCCACTTTGAAAAATCTTCCTTTTGGAAAGACTGCATTCATTAGTACATCAGAATGGTAAAGTCTCGCCAGTGTTAATAGAAAGGGCAATGGTCAAATGGAAAGACGACCAGACATGATGTTCGAGTTTAAATACAATGGGAAAGTTTATGAACTTATGTTTGTCGAATGCTCGCAGTTATCTTATACTAAACGAAAAGAATTGGATGATATGGTAAAATTATGGTGAGAGACTAATGATGGATTATATTGGACTCGAAAAGGATGTAAACTAGAGAAAAAGCAATTTGGGATTGTTGAAATCCAGGTTGCTGGTAAAATAATTTTCTTATATTTTTCATGATCCATATTTCATAAGATTTTTTTAATAATATAGAAACTTTGTAAGGCGAAAAATGTTGTCACAAGAGGTGAGAATGAGATACATCGTTATTATCATCTACACTCGTCTGAGATACCTGTATACCCTATAGGAGAATATAACTTGGCAAATTTTGTAAAGACTTTGCTTATTTTACAGGTTTGTATAAATATTCTTTTGGTCAGAGAAATATTTTCTAATGCGATTCTGATTTTTAAAATATTATCATTGTCAACATATCTTTACTACAGAGGCCTACAGTAATTTACCAGATTTTTTACTATTTATAAAATTTATATACATAATGCGAGTTTTTATCTGTA